GCTCAATGGTGTTCGTAAGCCGAGGACTACCTGTAATTGCAAGCAATAGACTTTTAAGTACATTGTGCCAATATGAATCCAACAATGGATGGAAAGCATTTCTCCACTGAAATGAGAGATTGTAAAGGTTTTTTTTTTAATATTGCAACACGACATCTCGGACTTCCAAAGGATAAGTACTCTCAAAAGATCCTTTTTGGATAGTGAGATAGAAGGCATATACAGTTAATACTATTAAAAAAAAATAACATGCAGATAGGTTTTGCCAGGCATTTGAAAGCATGAAGAAAATTTGTTTTAACAGTAGAGGGCAGCAAAAGCCAAACCAAATAGACAAGTCTCCCCTGCATAAAAATATAATCTACACTCCATCTGATTTAATAGCTATAAACAACCACTTTCTTCCAGTTTTAAAAAGGTTTGAGTATCCTGGAGAAAAGTTAACTCCCTGCAGGTGAGAAGGCAACTAGTTATTACAACCTTGCTCAAAGTATTTCTCTGTCTCTGTCTCTCTCTCTGTCTCTCTCTCTGTCTCTCTCTCTGTCTCTCTCCCCCCCTCCCTCCCTCTCTTTCTCTCTCCCTCCCTCTATAGGATAGATAAACAGACAGATGATAGATAGATAGATAGATAGATAGATAGATAGATAGATAGATAGATAGATATCCATCTCTGTGTGTGTATGCCTTTCTCTGTCTATATTTATCTAGCTAGCTGTCTATATCTAACTACCTCTCTCTCTCTCTCTCTCTCTCTCTCTCTCTCTCTCTCTCTCTCTCTCTCTATCTATCTATACATACATACACACACACACACACACACACACACACACACACACACACACATATATATCCTACTCTTTCTTTATCTCTCAGTCTTTCTTTCTGTCTCTTTCTCTAAGCACTAGAAAGTTGTGATTAATCTTAAGATTCAAAATCTCACTTTTTACCCTAAATGTTTTACTTGAATAGCAAACCTATTTACCTGTAGAATACCCTGCCCTTGGGAAAATCAATGACAGGAACAGAAGGACTGACTAAACCAGTTTCTTCCCTTCCAAATTGGTATCTGGGATCACAGCCAGCGAGCAGTGACATTTCCCCTTGCCTAAAGCAAAGGCTCAGTTTAGAAGTACACCAGATGGATTTTCAGTGAATTAGAAAGACTCTGCCTCCACCCTTCTAAGAGAAACAGAAGAAGCATTAACAATGGTAACACACCGTCAATGTCAAGAACAGAACATGAGCGTGCAAGCAGGGGCAGAAAGCTCCCAAATATTCCAGCATGGAAGTTTTGAGTCTAAGGAGCCTGAACTGAAATCCTATCCCAGCTACCCCTTACTAGGCATCTGTTTCAATTTACTCTGTAAAATAGTCTCGCAATCCTTTTAGATTTACAGCAGTAGCTGCCTCACCCGTTATCTAACCTCTCCCTCAATGTGTACGCTGCTTTAAGCCACATAGGAGTTAAAAGAGTGCATTTATTAAATTTCTACACCACCCTTTTCACCTAAGCGCCTCTGGCAACATCTACACCAACCATAAGAAAACCATAAAAACTATAAATAAAACACAAATTAGGCAGGAACAAATTACAACTTAAAAGTAAAAATAAAAAAATCAGTTAAAATTCAGAAGGCTAATTAATTTGAGCTCCTGGGCAAATTCAGAATTCCTCAGGGGAAAGGAAAAGCAGAGAAAGCAAATCCCAGGGAAGGGTTGGACAGGCGTCTGCCATAGCCACGTGGCAGGGGGCAAATCATTTCTGCAGCCCAGTGAAATGCTATCCCCTGTGTATCCTGTCAGCCTCTAATTAAAGGGATTAAAAAGCAAACAAGAGATTAACAGCCTCAAGAGAGTGTGCTTAATGTCTTCTAGGAAACCAGATACCTCACCACCCATCTCTTGGGGCAAAATCTGCAAATCCAGTTTAGGTGAGGGAGTTGCTCAGAACCAATACAGTACAGCTTCAAGTGCTTCTTGCACAATCTTCAATCTTCTTGGCCCAATTCCTTCTTCTATTTTTCCTTTCAATTGCTTTCTAACAAAGCTTAACCAAACAGAGCATTATGGGAAAACTGTTCTGATCTGCTTTCCCTTCTATTGTCTTTCAGTTCTCAGAAGTCCTAGCCAGCACCTAATGCTTCCTTTAACAGTAAAGTCAGATTTGACCATTATGTAGGCTTAAGGGATTGTCTTTAGTTCTGTCACTCTAAACTTCACAACCAGAGATAGGCACCAGTGGGTCATTTATTTAAGAAAATCCCCTGAACGCCCCATAAATTGTGCCAAGATCCAATTGCAGATATGATTTCTTATAAATCCAGAATTGCAACAATTCCTTTTGGAAAACTAAGTTTTAGGACTTATTTATAACTAAAAAGTTGAGCCTGATAGTAGTCAGTGGTATTTTCTTTATGACTTACATTACTAAGGAATGCAAGTAGCACAATAAAGCATACCCCACCCCATGCTCAATTTAGCATTAGGAGGCATTGTAGGAAATTGATAAAGATCATAGAATCCATAGGATTCCATAAGGCTGGGGGCTAGGAGGAGGAACCTGAAGTCTTCTAGTAAACCCACTGCCCAAGGCAATTATGTAAATTTGCAAAACTCAGTTAACAATGGAGAAAGTTTGCCTGGGTATTTTGTGCAGTTCTCCAGTTTGGTGACAATCCTGTGAATTACTTCCCTTCCCCCACCTCATGTAAATTAACCTGAGTTTCTCCTTCACAGGTCTGAGATTCCTTGTTAAAAGAATATGCATACTTCTGCATACAAGCGCAAAGAACTGGGTTTAGTGATGTATTACTAAGGAAAGGAATAGAAAAGAATACTACCCTGATTCTTGGCCTTTCAAAATTTTGGCCTTCTTTGCATTCCTGGCAAGTAATAACACATTGATTCTCCTCCCTTACAGTAGACAGAAACCTGATCATGCCACCTCCCCGAATCACCTTTATTCTTCAGGAAGTTTCAGTTCTCCTAAGCTGAATGTCAAAAAGTCAAAGGTGAGGAAACAAAAAATAAAGGAACATGACGTTCCAAATATGAGTAGCTTACATTTTAAAAAGCATGATGCATGCATTTGAAAGATTAAAGTCATCAAGGACCAGGACCTGAGACAACAGATCTGAAGTTTACAACAATGCAACAGCACCAGGAAGAGAATTGCTAGTCAATCTATGGTAGCACCTCCTGCAACATTCATCAGCCCACTATGACTAATGATCAGGAGTTATAGAAGTTGTATCACAAACATCTGGCAGACACAGTATCAGGTTGACTTTAAAATATCAAGTGTCTCCAGATGTTATGGCCCTGATATATGTCCCTTAGACACGTCTTCCCCAACACCTTGCAACAAAGTAGGAATTATTAAGCTCTTAGAATTCCAAACTTCATGAGCAAAGGCTTTGGGTTAACCTGTACTTTCTGAAAATGGTGTTATGGCATTTGCCACAGGTTTTAATGGGATCACAAATTGGTGTTGGCTGGGAATTCTGGGTGTTACAGTAAGGAGGACACCCCATTGGCCAGATCTATCTTCAATGAATCAGAAAAGTATGGTTTTCTAAACTGCATCTTTACTGAGTAGCGGTTTACTTTGAGAAGATATATATCTCAGTTTAGTCTAAGAACTATTATTTGGTCCATTCAAGCTAGAAACATGCACTGAGAGAAGATACAAAAGTATGTTTAGAGATGGAGGATGGTTTCTTTGAAAAATGCATAAAGAAACAGTATGTCCTTATCTATTTTTTTTTCTTTGTGAGTTTAAGACTTTTTAGAAGAAAGTTCAGCTTTAGAAATCCCTCAGAATTGCGCTGTATTGCAAATCATCTTTTTGTAGGTCAAGTTGTTATGTATTCTAAGAAATGAATAAAGAATTATTTCCCCAGAAATGCAATTGCTGTAACTCTAATATACAACCCACAGGAAGGTGTAAATTCTTTATTGTTAGCATAAGAAACATAATTTGAAGAAGAATGTTTATTTAGTTTTTATTCAGAACCTTTTACCCACAGCCAGAGAAAAATTTCCTTAAACAGGAAAAAAACAACAGAAGGGAATAAGTATTTTTCCATTCTCAAATATACACTTTACTTATTTATAAGAAACTAAGACTGTTTTGCAGAGTGATTTAAGAGGATAAGAGTAAAAATAGGGGGGGGGGGGAGAAATCTAACCTCATCCAGGAAGAATTTTGAGCTGAAGGGCTCAAGTGAGTGTAATTGAAAGGACAGCTCTTAAGGAGATGTTGGGGAAATTCCACAAACTTAAAAGAAACAAAAACATCTGTCAAATCACAAATGAAAAATCCATTTGAGTTATGTATGGAGAGGACAAAGTAATTCAGGCAATTCCATCTGGGAGACCTTAACCCCATCACTCCCATCAAAGAAGCAATATATTCAGAGGTAATAAGTTCTAGATCTCCCTTTCGAAGACCATAAAACTTTTCCTGGTTGGGAGGCAAAGGAGGGGGAGCATTTCGTCCCCACCATCCATTCAGTCAATCCCGAAGGTGCCTTTGAGAAATTGCAGGGCGGGAACCGGTGCATCTGAGAGAGATGTTTGCTTCGGCGCGCTCAAGGAGCTCATTAGGTCATTTTGGGGGAAAGGAGCCCAGGGGACATAGAGAGAAGGGGAAGGCAGAAAGCAGAGGCTTGTTCTGCGAGATGGCAAACCTAGCTGGGGGCTATCCAGGGGAGGGCAAAAACTGGGGGATCGAGGGAGACGAGACTTGGGTTTCCTGGCGGAGATGCAGAAAACGACCTCACAGCTGGGAGGACGCGAGGAAGACACTTTGGGGACAGCAGAGAGAAAGGAAAAAAACCCAAGGGGAGCATTTGGGAAGGGAGGGGGCATTTTTCTATCGGCAACGTTTCCGCCCGGAGCTATTTATAAACAGAACCGGAAACGTCGCCCCCTCTCTCCTTTTATCCGAGGGGGATGGAGGCTGTCCCCCCACCGCCGTTTCCTGTACCCCAACTTACCTGCCGTAAGCACCCCGGGACTCCCATGGTAACTACCATGCTGTTGTTGTTAAGGCTGTGGTTTAATGGGACTGGGCGGAGCCTGCGGGAGATCAGGCCCCCAAAGGGTCCCGCCCCCCCCGCCCCGCCCCTGGCGACGCCTCGTTTGGCCGATCCCGGAGGCTGCTTTGAGTTGAACTGGGGAGGAGGTCGCGTTGCTGGGGTGCAACCTTTGGGGTTGGGCTTCTGTTGTGGAAGAGAGCACCGTTGAGCATGTACAGAGCGTCGCACTTCTTGCTTGTTACTTTCTTGTGTGAAGAGACCGAAATGGTGCGGGGGTGTCATACTCGAGCAGGTGGAGTGGGCTAGAAGATCTCCCAAAGTCCCTTCCAAATCTATTATTCTGCATCTGGAGTTTTCCTGGCAGCATTTTTGCAAGTGGCGTGCAGTCGCCGACTGGCTCAAGGTCACCCAGCTGGCTTTGTGTGTCTAAGGCAGGACTAGAACTCACAATCTTCCGGTTTCTAGCCTGGTTCCTTAACCACTATGCCAGCATGTAATGCGGTGGCTCAATGAGATATTTCTGCCAAGGATTTCCTTGTTATGAAACGGCCTGCCATACTTCCTCCCATATTCTGGAGAGAAAAAATGTAAGATTTTGCTTTGGTGCCTCCACTTAATACAATCTCCTTGTCTTAGAGATTTAAAAAAATCACATCAAACTGCCTCCTATTTATTGAAAAGAGGCAATTTAATGGAGCAGATAATGGCCAAGTGGATGATGTCCCAGATACATGGGGGGAAAAACAAAAAAGAGGCTGTGGCTGGGAGTTGGGAAGAATCTTTGAGGGGCAGGTACAAAGTATTTTGTACATAAAGATAGTTAATTGCTTGGTTTTGTTTACTTGCACACACATCTTTCTTGGCTCCTACTCTTCTACATGGGGCACAGCCAATCACACCCAGGTCCTCCTTACACGCCCTTTAACACAGCCAATAACATGGCTGGCATATACACCCTTCAAGGAGCACATGGGTTTGTTTCAGCCCAAACGTATGCTGAGCAAACAACAGCTGCTCTGGCACATAGCCAGTAGGTGAGGCACCAGCAAACTGTATCTCATCTGGCTATGCATTGTTTGCTTAATACTATATAGCCTTTCCAAAAACAGGCCATGTTGAAGAGGAAATGGGAAAACATCATACATCAATTCCTACCTAAAATCAATACAGGCTTGAAAGCTTCAAAAGGAAGCCAAATGACCTCTTGCTGGACTGAACACAACCACAAAATGCTATTTTTTGTTAAAATGATTCTAAGTGGGGGTTTGTTTGTTTTTTTTTAAAAAAAAAACAACAAATGCTTCTGAGAATCTGCTGAATTATATGCTATTGAACAGATATGTGAGTTATGTCTCCAGTCTTGGTCTGAATTCTACTTAAATATTGTTTTGTTCGAAGTATAAATGATGGGTTGGAAGGCTGCTGCTTGATCGAGAAAAACTGAATCTTCCATTGTCTTCCGTCTTTCAAAAAAGGGGAAGAATAATCACCCTTCCTTAAAAAGTTAAAAAGGTAAAGGTTCCCCTCACATATATGTGCTAGTCGTTCCTTACTCTAGGGGGCGGTGCTCATCTCCGTTTCAAAGCTGAAGAGCCAGCACTGTCCAAAAATGTCTCTGTGGTCATGTGGCCGGCGTGACTAAATGCCAAAGGTGCATGGGATGCCATTACCTTCCCACCAAAGGTGGTTCCTATTTTTCTACTGTCATTTTTTACATGCTTTCGAACTTTCAGGTTGGCAGAAACTGAGACAAGTAACGGGAGCTCACTCTGTTATGCGGCACTAGGGATTCGAACAGCTGACCTGCTGACCTTTCTGATCGACAAGCTCAGCGTCTTAGCCACCAAGCCACCACGTCCTTCTTAAAAGGTTATTGTACTTCAAAAAATTAAAATCCCCTACAAAAAGGATTCTGATCACTTACAAACATCTAAATGCGAAACTTCATCCACTTTGCTTGCTTTGTTATCAATAAATCATAACAAAACCCCAGCTTCATCCGTTAAGCAGTAAAAATGAACAACCTCCTGTGACTGTTATGAGATAAAGGAAGAGGAAGGTTATAAAGGAATTAAAAAATACTGACAACGCTTTTGAATGATTGATGTTTTTATTTTAAAAAGGGAAGCTCTGTTTCCAAGCTCTGTTTTCATTTGTTACATAACACTCAAGTCAAATGAAAAATTGCCTTTGCAGGAGGGAACCTTCAAGAGAAATGGAGGAAGTTAGGCAAAGACTATTCTTAAAACTGCTTTATCTCAACACTCTCACATGTCTTTCATAGGACCTTTACCATCATGAGCCCTGAAAGAATTCCTGAAATATTCATTTAATCTTTTTTTAATGAATTTTGGATTGTGAATGTCACTTGTAAGCTTTTTTGGAACGAAAGGGTCTAAAAGGTGGAATGATAGTGACTGATTTGATTTATATTGTACTTTATTTGGGGAATTCCTGTCTAGTTTGCTCCCCTATGAACCCTATGAGATACGTCTGAGAAATTTCCTGCATTTACAACATTTAATCAGTGGAACAACTTACCTCCAAAAGATGTGGGTTCTCCAACACTGGAAGCTTTTAAGAAGAGATTTGTCTGGAACGGTATATAGGCTTTCCTGCTTGAAGATCTCCAAGGTACCTTCCAACTCTATCATTCTGACCCAAAATCATCCACTGAGTTTCCATGGCTAAACGTGGACTACTGCATATAATCTAGGCCTCCTTGGTGTGGTTCAACGCTTTAAACATTGTGCCATCATACCAGTTCTTCATTATGATAATACAGGTAGTCCTTGACTTATGACCACAACTGAGCCCAACATTTCTGTTGTTAAGCAAGGCATTTACTTTTTTAGTGCTGTTGTAATTTGAACAGTCACTAAGTGAACTGTTGTCAAAGACTACTTGTGACAGGAGTAATCATTTGTTTTAATCAACCACCATATTCTTCCATCATCTATTACTCTTTAGTGTTACATCTTAATTATTTGCTCTCTGAAGGTTGATAAACCCTCTGCCAATGAAAACAGAGCTCGGGAGGCCCGCCTGCTAAGGGATAGTATCTGGATGAGACCTTCCCAAGCTCTGTTTTTGCTGACGGGGTTGCAGGAGGCAGTCGCAGCCAAAAACTGAGCTTGGGAGGCCATTTTCACTGGCAGAGCACTTGGGCCACCACCCCACCCCACCTGACATGAGTGACATCGAGCTGGCCATGCCCCCTCCCCTGCCCCGCTCCCCAAGTCAAACACAATTTGATGAGGCCCTCAATGAAATTGAGCTTGACACCCTTGCTCTAGAGGTTTTGGACATTCACTTCCATGTACTTTGTCATTGCTCATGTTGTTTAAGCTAATGGGAAATAAGGTCTAAACATCCATAGATTGCCTACTGGGCCAAGGCAGTTGGGATTCAGCTCCTCCCCAAATTGAATATGTAGGCCTATTTTACAGACATCCTTGGAGGATTAAAGAAAAGGACCAAGATTAATATTTTGGGAAAAAGACAGGAACAAAATGTTGATGGCGATAATATTTTTTTTTAATTTGTATGCAAACACCAGAACCAGCCAAGGCAAATATAGGCTCCACTTTGTCTACATGTTAATCCCGAGAAACAATGGTTGATAAGGCATTTCATGGTCAGGGAATCAGAAGGGGCCAGTTAAACATTTTCACGCTTAACAAAGCAAGCTTTAAAAAAAAAAATCAGCCTCAAGGTCTAGTTCACCTTAGGCACAACTGTGTGAAAAACAGGTCTGTGCTGTTATCAAAGGCTTAATTTGGAATGTTCACTGGAGCTGAACTCAAGAATTCGTTTTTATTGTTAAGGTCAGGATTTGTGCAGTTTCTGTTCACAATGTAGTTATTTGAATTTGAGAGAGGGAGGGCGGTCCCTGAAGTTGCAGTCCCTTTATCTGGCGGGCATCACCAAGGGGAAGACTGATGAAAAGTAACATAAAGATGGAGTTTAAAATGACCTTCCGTGACAAATTTCTTCTCCAAGTTCAAGGTGAGCAATTCTGAACTACTTTAACATTAGGATATTAATATCAGGAGCACCTCATAAGGTGAGGCAGTGAGATTGACGGTAAGGTGGAGTTGATATTTTCAGCTCAATTCTTAGATTTGCGGGGGGGGGCGGACAGATGGACAGAGAGGGAGTTAATTAAAAACAGATTATTTATGCTCCCCAATTTTTGACTAATCTTATTTTGAGTCTTTTTTTTTTTAACCTTCTCCCAAGTCACACTGCCAACCATCAGTTAGTACAATTAATCAGTGGAACGACTTGCTTCAAGAAGTTGTGAATGCTCCAGCACTGGAAGTTTTTAAGAAGAGATTCGACAACCATTTGTCTGAAGTGGCATAAGGTTTCCTGCTTGAGCAGTAGGGTTGGACTGCAAGACCTCCAAGGTCCCTTCCATCTCTATTGTTCTGTTATCAGTATTTTGCTGTTGAATTCTGGTAGGCCAGAGAGACGAAAAGGATTAGAGAATCAGAGACTGAATAAGCACACAAGTTGGCAATTCTTTTAGGACCATAGTTTTCAGGAGACTGAAGTGGTGGTGATTTCCCCTCCATTGCAACATATTACTATTTCAGCCCTGTACATAATTTCATGCATTCACACATCCACCCCGCTTTTCCCTCCCCTCAAGCAGCCAATTGCAACCTTCAGTGAAAATTTGGCAAGCAGGACCTTTTGGCTTCTTGCCATTAAGATATCCTACTGGTCATGCCATCATGCCAATCAATGGGAAAGTGGGTGGGCTCCTGATTTTGGCATGCAACGCCTTTCCGTGCTGAGGACCAGCTGTTCTGCCAATGAATTATTGCTGCCTATCACACAAAGGCAAGGCAGAAAGCTTTCTGGGGTGAGAAAAGATAAAGTCTCTTCATTTTTTGTGGTGGATTAGAATTCATTAAAACCTCAACAGGTCCCAGAGCGCTTGTGAATACAGTATTTTTTACTACCACAAATCAATGCAGCAGTGGAACTGTTCCACTTCACTTTCACGAAGCAAGCAGAG